GGAGGGAGAATTTCTTTTTCCAAAAAATCTTCTGAGGCCGTAATTTATTCCGAGCGTGTTTTAGCTCCCATTGATGCCTCTGGAGCCCAGCCTGGGCTTTTGAAGTGGAAAGTTCCTTTGGTTTTTCAATGCAAAAACAACATCAGGTGCAAATCGGGTGAATCACTTGTGTGTGTCTGTGTGTGTTGTGTGTGTGTGTGTGTGTGTGTCTGTGTGTGGTGTGTGTGTGTGGTCGATTTAAGTGAGATATGAGTGGTCTCAATAGGCACAGAGTGTGTAACTAACATCAGGTGCATGTTTGGAGTAAAATCCATGTTTTATTCTCTGAGGAATAAAACCACGTGTGCCACATTTGGATCCCATATGGCGAGCGAAAAAGAAGAAAAAGACGGGAGTAGCTGTGATCATATTTTTTAAAAAGAAAATAAATCATTGAGTTATTTTTGGTTCAGTGTGTTGTGTGTGTGTGTGTGTGTTGTGTGTGTTGTTGTGTAGAAGTGAACAGAGTGAGTGTTTATGTAGGAATTTATTGTTAATTGTCTGGAAAGCTACAGTCTAAATGCTGCAGGTTTGTTAAAAAATGATCTAATTTCATTAAGAAGAAGAATATAAGGGAATAAACACACTCTCAGATGGTGGTGAACTGATGACAGATCACATGCATATTTATTTATGTTCATATAAGCTTCAGTTATAAATGATGAATAATGGGATGGAAAACCCCGATTTAAATCGATATATCGTCTTCTTTCTTGTCAAAACGTGCTGCCTACATTACCCACAATGCAACCTGACTGCCAACAGTTCAGTCATATATTATGTAGGTGTGCTGTGCTGGGTTAGCGACCAGGGTGTTGTTAACTTCTTGCTGTGTTTCAATTTTAAGTGAACTTAACCAATTTGTATTTAGTTAGAAAAAGTCCGTTTTAACTGGAGTCTCTTCCCTCGACCGACCCTCTCTCTTTAGTGGTCTCCACTCATGCCACTCTCTCTCTCTCTCTCGTTCTTTTGTTTTGTCTTCTTGGACTCGATCTCCCTCTCTTCAGCACATCCCCGAGTTCCTTACCTCCTCTTCACCCTGTGCCTTACAAATTGACGTGTTCACCGTCCCCCTTCTCTCGTTCAGTCACCAGTCTCATCTCTCCCACTTCCCCTTCCTCACCTCTTCTTCTAGCTCCGCTTTTTGGTTTTCATGTTTATATCCTCTGAACATCAGATATTTTAGTTCAGGCTTTGTGAATAAACTTTGTAACATTGACAGTTTCATGTGGTTTCTTTTCTATAATTCTTTGACTTTTTCTCTTTTTATGTTCTTCTGTTACTAAAGCAGCAGGGTTCACATGTTAAATATTACCATAACAGTTTCTCTCTCAATCTCTTTCCAGGGAGTTGAAGCAGGACGATCTCCAGTTTCGCGGCTACGAGTGTCCTGGGATTCCTTGGCAAACCGGCGTCCTCCCGTGCGGACATTACTCCTCCTCCAGCGAGACAGAGCGAGAGACGACGGGCGCCATGGTGCCTCGGAGGGATGACAGCGAATCAGGGGGCGGGCTGTGGAGGTGGAGGTCAGAGGTCAAGAGGGCGTGGACATTCATGACCGCCGGTGAGGACACACAAGGCCGACGCTTGGCCGTGTCGCTTTGGTTCCGCTCCATTTCTGAATGACGCAGATCGAAAGAGGGGGACGAGTGAGGAGGGGGAGGTGAGGAGCGGCATTGGATGGGGGAGGAGGGAGGGAGGAAGAGGAGGGAAACCAAAAGAGCAACGGGCTGAAGACAACCGTCATCCCTCCGTCCTCCACCACCGCCCTGCCCTCCCCGTCCTACGTCATTCTCCTCGTCGTTCACCTCATCACTCGCCGTACGCGACCCGCCTGCACGCTTCTCGCCTCCGTGCAAAGACAGACTCTTCAAGCGCCCTTCCCTACCTTTCTCACGCTCCAAACGCAGAGCCCCGCCCATGCCTCTCCCCCTCCAGTCCCCGCCCTCCTACACCATCTCCGACGGAGCTCCGGCCCCTGGGGAGCCACAGCCACTTCCGACTACAGACTCTGCAGTAACGACTCAGTAATGCGATGACTTTACTCTGTTATACCTATGTGTTCTCGTCTTCACGTCTGACCTTTTTTTGTTTTTTTTTTGTTTGTTTGTTTGTTCGTTTGCAAATGGCTGAACACATTCAGAGGGAGAGAGACAGAGAGAGAGGTGGAGGGTGGAGGGCGGGAATCCAACGGAATCTGCTCTGGAACCCATCGGTATGGATTCCGGAATTCTGTGGCGGAATTCTGGAATGCAACACTTCCGAGAACCGGGTTCCGTGGTGGTTCTGGTAACACCGGCAGAGGACAGAAGGGATCCTGGAATGGCAGATGTTCATCAAGACAGTTTGATAAATCCTCTGATTTTCTGGCTGTCAGGGATCTCCCAGGGAATATGGCGCAGACACATCGTCGTCCACTCATTGCTACCAAATATCAGTTTGAAAAGAATGCAAGCTAAATGGCTAGCGAGCACTATAGCAAGGGCGGTACCAAGCTAACCTGCTACTAAATGGGCTAACTAACTAGAGAGCGAGGGAGCTACCAAATATCCATTTGGAAAGAATGTCCGGCCTTGTACAAGTTAGCCAGTGAGCTAAATAGCAAGCAAGCCCTATAGCAAGTGAAGTACCTAGCTAACTTGCTACTACATGGCCTACCTATCTAGAGAGCGAGGGGACTACCAAATATCAACTCTAGCAAGCGTTAAATAGCTAGCAAGCACTATAGAGAGTGACAAACCTACTACTAAATGGGCTAACTAGCTAGAGAGCGAGAGAGCTACCAAATATCCATTCCAAAAGAATGTCCGGCACTATACAAGTTAGCCGGTGAGCTAAATAACTAGCGAGCACTATAGCAAGTGAGGTACCAAGTTAACGTGTTACTAAATGGGCTAACTAGCTAGTAAGTGAGGGAGCGACCAAAGTAACCTGCTAGTGAGATAAACCGTCAGTGAGTTAGCGAACGAGATAGCGATGCGAAGCGTTCATGACATCACTGAATTGGATGTATTTTATCATAAAAACTGGATTTACTTTGTGTGGCTAATTGCATATGCTATTCTCTTTCCCTTGAGCTTCTCCCACTTTAAACTTTCCATAGCGATAACATCAGGTAAAAATAGCTTTTTCTAGTCTCTGGGAAAGTTTGAAACTCATTAAACCCTCATGATCTAAAAGTTCATAACACAAAGAGTAATGATTGATTCGTCAGCGGTTTGTCTCATGTTTAATCTTGGTCTATGGGCCAATTGCTCTTGAGCTTCTGAGGATTTCTTCTTCTTCGAGTCTTACTCGCCGTGATGTTTCCATGCATCTCTCAGTTCATCATATTTATGGTCCCGTCGAGGTTAACGGGCATCTATTTATGGCCAATCTGTCTGTATAAACGTCTGCCATTTCCTACGCATGCCGCAAGAGTGCAAAGAAGGGGATTTAAAATGGAAAGTACAAACCTTTTTTTTCTTCTTTCCTCTATGAGATTCAAACGCGCATGATTATAATGGAATTACAAGTAGCCAAAGTGACATTTCAGAAGGGAAAACATCGTTAAAAATCCATGTTTGATTTTCAACACACGATGCTTTCTTGCCCTAAACCAAAACTTCAAATCTGTAATGGATTAAAAATGGAATTAAACCCTCTTTAGACCTCTGGAATTTGAATGGAACTACCCTTCAACTCATTTTACCTTGAGCCAAATGGACTGAATCCCGCTTCCAAACGAAATGTGACTGAAATTGCAAACAAACGGAATAACCTCCCCTTCAACTCTGGAATTGGATGGGTCCAACTCTGACCGAATCACTGGGATGAAATGGAGCGGCATGGAACCATTGCTCTGCTGTCGATAGCCCGCACCCTCTCTCTCTGCATCAACAAGGGCCAAGGACTTTATTTTATCCTAATAACAGTTATACTAGTAATAATAATAACGATAATAATAATAATAAGAGACTTCTAATAATAGTTACGAGGACTATTCTGATTTCTAAAGACTGTCTTTGCTTCTATTTGAGTTGCCTACGATATTCTGGCTTCTCGTTCAGCTCTTCCTTAATAAGTACACTTTAACCTGATGAATTAAAATATACGGTGATATTTATTGTGAGGCGAAGCGATGGCGGCTGTGTGAGTGGGTGGAAGGGAGGAAGGCAAGGATAGAGGCAGGGAAAGACGAACTGAGAATGTGTGGATGAAAGAAAGGGGAGAAAGAGAGGACAAAGAGGAGGACTGAGTGAGGAACAGGTGGAGAAAGTGTTGCCTTTCGCTCTGGGAAATCTATTTTAAAGGGAAATTT